GCTAATAAAGCACCTTGAATTTGAATTGAATTGAGTTAATTAGACCACAGTATAGAGGGAGTTTGCGTCGACGGTGAACTGTTCTCCCACCCCGCCCCAGGTGACACGCCTGCTGCTCAAGTTCGGGGCTGACGTGAACGCGAGTGGGGAGGTGGGCGACAGGCCTCTGCACCTGGCGGCAGCCAAGGGCTTCCTCGGCATCGTCAAGCTCCTGTTGGACGAGGGCAGCAAGACCGACGGTGAGTCGCTGTGGGACACGACTCTTCGGCGCGTAGCGTGCCTGGCTCTGAATGTTCGCGGGGAGGGTTTTGGAGGGTGTCTCCGGAGTGGAAACTGTGTTTTGACATCTTTACCATGGCCCCAGCACCGCCCTAGTGAATGAAGGCTGTGGGGCTGCGCCACATCTCAACGTGGCCGGTAGAGGGAGCTGTGACCCTTGACCGAGCCCGTACGGGTTTTAACTTTGACGCCGACTTTGAAAAGCGCGTTCAAGATCCTGAAGCGGGCGAGTCAGCCTCACGTAAAACAACCCCCCCCACGTGTGTGTGTGTTTGCCTTGTGTGTGTCTTCTCCTAAGTGCTAACACGAGGGATACTAATCGATGAGACTGGGGGTTCCCTGCCTTCCTGTAGTCAACGCCCAGGACAACGAGGACCACGTGCCCCTGCACTTCTGCGCGCGGTTCGGCCATCACGAGGTGCTGCGGTATCTGCTCCAGGGCAGCTCCGCGGTCCAGCCCCACTCCGTTAACATCTACGGCGACTCTCCGTTGCACCTGTGAGCAGCCTGGCCTCCGATATGACCGCTGTCTGCGGCAGCAAGACTTCTTGCATGCATGTATTTTTAAAAAAAAAATACACATTTTCTTAAATGTAGATATTTGCATGTCAGATCACTGGCAGCCGGTTCTTCCTTGAAGATGTTCATTTTTTGTTTTAACCTGAGAACTTGCCTAACTGTCAGGGTGTGGATTTGTTTTGATGATGTCGATTTGAAATAATATATCTGCAAATTGTAGAGTCCTGCTGGGACTCATTAGATTCAATGGATTGCTAAACAGAAAAGCTTTGGTAGAGGGAAAAGCACAGCATGGGGGAGGAATTCCGTGATGTTTTGCATCATTATTTTTGGCGGTCTTCTCACTAAACCCATTCCTGGCAGGGCCTGCTACAATGGGAAGCTCGATGCAGTGAAGGAGCTTGTTCAGCTGTCTGGGACGGAGAGCCTGACCAAGGAGAACATCTTCAGTGAGACGGCTTTTCACAGGTACAGCCCGGTCCATTCCCCTTGGCCTTCAGCTCAGCAGTATTCAGCCTCTGCTGCCCTGGCACATGTGACACATGCAGGCAGGTCAATTGAAAGACATTCTCTCAACAGACCTCCTCAATTTTCCTCTCGTCTCTTCCTGGCCGATCCCACTGTCCAGTGAGGTGATTCGTTTCATGTTCGCACTCCAGCCCTCGGTCACTCTTTTCTTTTTAGGCGCAGCCACAGCCAGGTGACGCCTCTTAGCTCCTGGACCCTGGAATCAATTCCAAACTGGGGCGCCCTGCTGTTGTGGGGTTTGCCTGTTCCCCCCAATATTCCTGTGCGCACTCGCCGGGCACTCTGATCTCCTCCCACCAGGGGAAAGTAAACTGGCACCTCCAGAGTGTCCTTGTGTGTGTGCTGTGCAGTGAACTGGCCTCCTATCCAGTGCAGTCTGGCCTTGTGCTCCACACTTCCAGGACGGAATCCGGTTTGCCCCAGAGGACGACTGGGAATAAGCAGCTTGCCGATAATGGATGGAGAGATGGACAATAAGATGGCATGTTCACAGTTCTGTCCTTTCATTAACTGCTGCTGGGAAAAGCCTTCCTGAACGTCTTGGGAAGCACAGATAATGGCTGTATCTTTGTTTTTCTGTTTTGCGTGTTTTATTTCCATAAACTCAGCATTAGATGTAGTTCATTTGCTGAGTGCTCAGTGAGAAGCAATTCTGAGCGTGAAATGTTCCCAAGAGAGGCATCCTGTAAATGTAGCGTAAGATGCAATTGCTGCAGGAGAACCCACCTGTGATTTTCTTCTTTCACGTTTGTGACCCAGGATTTTAGGTAATGCACACAAAAAAAAGCATGGATTTTACTCCAACATAGTAAAGATCAGCTTTCTCACCACAATAGGAGTAGGGCTGTGGCCTGGGCACGAAGCCAGCCCATCACAGGGCACACGAGGAGAACGAGGAGAACACGCAAACTCCTCGCAGAAAGAGACAGGAGCTGCGTGACAGCAGCCCTCTGTCCCGTGTGCCACTGCAGCCTCCACAGTAAAGACAGTGCATTGTCAAAATGGTGCGTGTTGTTTTCGAAATTGAGAACCAGCGCCTTAGAATTTTGATCCAATTTCTTTTCAATTCTGGCAGCGCCTGCACTTACGGAAAAAACATTGAGATGGTGAAGTTTTTGCTCAGTCAGAATGCAATGAGCATCAATCATCAAGGCAGAGACGGACATACAGGTAAAGTGAAGGACATTCCTTTTGCTGACTTAAAAAAAAGGCAGGAGTGGTGGCACTGTGGCTAAGGATCTGCACCTGTGGCTGGAAGGTTGCTGGTTCAAATCCCGCTGCCGGGGGTGCTGTATAAATGGCTGACCCTGCGCTCTGACCCCAAGCTTCTCTCCCTGTCTGTGTCTTGTGGAGAGCAAGTTGGGGTATGTGAAAAGACATTTCCTAATGCAAGAAATTCTATATGGCCAATAAAGTAATCTTATCTTATCTTAAATTGCATTGTCTTCCTATAACAGTTTTAGTAAGTGCCAGGGGCATGTTCTTACCCTTGAATGCGTACAGCTAAATAATGACTTGCAAGACGAGGAGGCCAGAGCGAATCGTGAAATGTTATGTCGATTAAAGACCAAACTGCGTTGGGCCCAGAACTGAAAGACAAGCAGCGCCACCTGATTCTGCGTTTGAACAGACCTTCTCCTGTGCCTGTCTGTTGCCCGGCCTGCAGGGTTACACAGCGCCTGTTTCCATGGGCACATCCGCCTGGTCCAGTTCCTCTTAGACAGCGGGTCTGACATGAACCTGGTTGCCTGTGATCCCAGCAGGTCCAGCGGGGAGAAAGATGAACAGACCTGTCTCATGTGGGCGTACGAGAAAGGTGTGTCATCGGAGCCAGTTGCACATGTCTGAGCGACATATCGTGGGAATGTGTTTGCAAACATCTTGGCCCACAGCAGTCTCTGCTTCGTTTTACATTGCTGAGGGAGAAAAGCGTAGTCTGATTCACACCATGTGGATGTATCATGATCTAGAAATTGTGAATAGTATATAGATGCCAATATAATAATCTTTGTATAATCTTTCTTTTAAAGCGAGATTTCAGAACTGGGTATTTACAGCCTCATATACTAATTCAAGAGATGTTGTATAAGCTTAAGCAATTTAAAACCAGTTCTGCTGCATTTGCTGGATTAAGTGCTCTGTACGAATAAAGCACATGAAATATGCTCACTGTTTGCTTGTTCTTTAGTCTCTAATGGTGTAATGAAACACGTTTGTTGCTAACTGTGTGCTCATCGAAATACTGAATGTCATCACAACAGAGTGTTAATTAATCACACCGCTTGCTATCAGGGGACTGGAGACTGGCAGCAGAATAATACTGCACCTGGGTTCCTGTTACAGGTCATGATGCCATTGTCACCTTGTTGAAGCACTACAAACGGCCCCAGGACGAGTCTCCCTGTAATGAGTATTCCCAGCCTGGGGGAGGTCAGTGCCGTGTGTGACCATCGATTGATAACGCACAACGGTTATTGCTTTCTGCTGCGGCTGTTCTTGTTCTGTTCCCAAAATGCGCAGTCCTGCTGATTCTAGAGTGTTTGTCTGAGTGATTTAGAGAGCTGAAAGCTCAACATCAACGCTGATGGGATTAGTGAAAACAGCCTCCCTGCTATTTTAGTTTTCAGTCTCTCTGATCCTGCTGGAAATTAATAATCGCCGCACAATAGAGAATTCATCTGGCAGCCCCAAAACTTCAAGTGCTGGCCAGAGCCTTTTCTCAAAGGGGTGCACTTTGATGGCTTGCTGGAAAAAAATAAAAACAGCGTGATTTTGATTTTACTGAGGAAAAAAGAAACAGTACAAGAAACGAGAACAAGACGTTCAGTTACCCGTCAGATCAGTTAGCTGTTAGCATCTCTTCCAGCTGGGTGGGCCAAGTGGCTTCTTCGTGTTTGTAACCTTTCTAATGTCTTTATGTTTTTATGATCATTAAGATAAGTCTAAAGTTGCAGAAGAGATTGTTAACATTGTAATTTATAAAATGCTAATGTTATAATTCCAATATATGAAAGCATTAATAAAGCAGAAAGATCTGACATGTGTTTTGGGTTTTACAGATGGGTCCTACGTGTCTGTTCCATCCCCTCTGGGGAAGATTAAAAGTATGACAAAAGGTAACAGTGTACCAGATGTCTAGACAGCTCTTGAGAGACAGTTTCCATTTAAAGCTGTTTAAATGCACTACATCATATTGTAGCCTTGTGACCCCATACAGTACCTAGAATCTCCTACAGCAACAGTCAGCCCTATATGGAAATGCAGAATGCTTTCAGGTGTCACAGTATTATATCGGGGTTCTCCAGGGGTCAGTGCTTGGGCTCATTTCATTCTACAGGATTCCTCTTTACAAAGTAAGGAACTTGTGTTTAGTCGGGCATTTAAATGTCAGGTTACGATGTCAGGTTACACACAGGTTACACACAAATAATTGTATGTGTTACCAGAAATGTGTTTTGCACACTCCTGTTGTACTTATCCCTTTTACAGGAATTTCTAATTTGTGGTTTTGTACAGGCAATGCATCCTACACAAACCTTATCTAAATACAAATGACTTTCATTTAATTCTGTGACTTGATAAAATATTTTTTTTATTGCATTTAGGAAATGTAATGCTATATTAATGATGTGGGGAGTAGCGCAAGGGTGGTAGGGATTTGAAGTCATACCTGTATTTTATAATATTAAAATACACTTTGTTTTTGTTCTCAGAAAAGGCGGATGTTCTCCTGCTAAGAGCGAGTCTACCCTCTCACTTCCACCTCCAGCTGTCAGAACTGGAGTTCCATGAAATTATAGGATCAGGTATACGAGCTGAGACAGCTAGTGTGCTAGACAGTTCTTCTTATTATTTCTTAAGCCATTTCTTAAATTATTGAGAGATAGGCAGCCAATGCTAAAAATAAAATATTCTTTATTTAGGTTCCTTTGGAAAAGTTTACAAAGGACGATGTAGGAACAAAATTGTTGCAATCAAACGGTGAGTGCTCTTGCACGAACACAAGAAGAAATGAAATAATCCATGAAGTGGATTATTTTACAGAATGACCTCCTCAGTTTGCACTGAACCGTTCACAAATTCAAAATCGAAAGCGTCACGATTGTGATTTTCCGTTCTAGGTATCGAGCAAATACGTACTGCTCAAAGTCCGATGTAGACATGTTTTGCCGTGAAGTGTCCATTCTCTGCCGTCTCAACCATCCCTGCGTGATCCAGTTTGTTGGTGCCTGTTTAGATGATCCCAGCCAGTTTGCGATTGTTACTCAGTATGTCTCTGGAGGGTCACTCTTCTCTCTACTGCACGAGCAGAAGAGGTAGGTGGGGCTTTCCGGTGCTTTGTTCTGAACCCCTTTTTGTGTCCTGCTTCAGTATTATCTGCAAATGTCACTAGTTTAGTAACTGTACCCAAATCTAGCTCGTCAATAAAAATTGGGAAGAGCAGCAGTCCCAGTGTTATCGATCAGTTCCCCCCATAAGTCTGATTACTTTTAAATCTGCAGGATAATTGATCTTCAGTCAAAGCTCATCATTGCCATTGATGTGGCAAAAGGCATGGAATACCTGCACAACCTCATCCAGCCAATCATCCACAGAGATCTCAACAGGTGAGCAACATCCAGCCCCTGGAGCTGCAGCGGTGCACGACTAGATACTGCACATGTGCACAAGTACTCAAACTGAGTGTGTTTCAGTAAACGAGTCCTTTATCCCAGAAGAATTATCTTCCAGGTTGCTTTGTGTCTTGTGGCAGGAGTGATCCTTTTTACCATGAAAGGTTTGAGTCCCAGACGGGTTGCCTCAACAGTCTACATTTTGTATAACAGAAAACCTTTATTAAAAGAACATCTCTTTTACACAGATTTGTTGTCAATAGACTGGACCCTTGCTTTGATTTTTGCTATTGTTTTTCCTAAATATGGCTTTAACATAAGATACCATGTTCCCTTTTCACTGGTTCTTTCATTTTTTGCTAAAACATACTGAACTGTCAAGGCATATCATATCATCTGTTACCAGTGTGCCTAAGCAACTCTTAATTTCTCACTTATTATACATTTAATCCCCATTGTATTCTGATTCTTTCTAAGTACTAGAGCCTGCAATTTATTGAGAATTAAAACAATCTGGGTTAAATATATTTCCAGGGTGGGAGGTGATTGGGAATAAAACAAATTTCCTGCAAAGAAATTCACTGTGAAGCTTTTTTTGACAGCCATAATATCCTGCTTTATGAAGATGGCCATGCAGTGGTGGCAGATTTTGGAGGTAATTATACTGTCTTTAGCGAAACCTACTGGAATCTTACAATATCTTCGGATCAATAACAAGTCAACTTTTATCTTGTAGAATCCAGATTCCTGTTGTCCATGGAGGAGGATAATATGACAAAACAACCTGGGGTTTGTATGCTTCCACCGAACTTTATTCTGAATATACAGAGTAGCTATAAACTTACGTCTTACTTCACTTTGCCTATAATCTGCAAATGATGAAATGTACTTTAGCAGGATTAGGAGTGGATACACATGGGCTCCTGTCCAACACAATCCTTAGATCTGTAGACCTTTCTGCTGGAGGCACCATTTCTGACACATTTTCTGTGCGTAGATGTACAGAGCTGTCAGCTGGGGCAGTTTGCCTGGAGAAATGTCCACAAATGCTTAGTCTCCCTAACGCCAGACTCAGCTTTGTGCAGACTGCTGCAGCCAGAAGTGAAATGGTATTGCCTGATTTCGATTCTGCCAAATTAGAGAATTTACTGAGTAGCATGAACTTATTTCTACTAATAAAATACAGTAAATGTGCAGCAATAAAGGACAATGTATGCTACAGAATGCCTGCAATAACGTAATATTTCTTTAAAAGCACCGTGGAGCTGCTCTGGACTCATCCTAAACAGAGTATTAATGTATAAAGAGGACAGTGCTCTTCTGTTGCTTCTGCACAGCTGTAGGTTTTGAGATAAACCCTGTTTTTGCCACTGTGGTGTCTGTCGGGCATCGTTACTGTAAGCTAACGGGCAGCAGAACGCACGGGGGGGTCCTCTACTGGCGGTTCTGTGATCCTAACGGTGTGGGGCTGCTGTGCAGAACCTGCGGTGGATGGCCCCGGAGGTGTTCACTCAGTGCACCCGCTACACTGTCAAGGCAGACGTGTTCAGCTACGCCCTGTGCCTCTGGGAGCTGCTGACCGGAGAGATTCCATTCGCTCACCTCAAGCCAGGTACTGTGTCTGCACTGGACAGCCACCCCCTGTCTCAGACAGCTCCCCTCCCTGTAGTGACACGCCCCAAGCTACAGAAGGACCCGGGCTGTGCTTGGCTCTTGAATCTTATTTTGGCTTCTGTTTTAAGCTACAGTAAACCCACTTATGCCTCAGCGCTTTATCCTTTATCATAGGATGTCCAACAATGGAAAATGTTTGTTTAGGTTATGGCTTTGATGTATGTGCAAACTCTTTGTGGGTCGGTTTTCTTCAATCGCAAAAGATGCATTTTAACCGTTGTATGGTTTGTGTCTTACTTGGACTGTAAGACCTAGGATAAAGCACTTGGAGCTCTTGATATGCCTGGACTTTGCTTCTCATTTAGGCAGGACATGAAACGTAGCTGGTCGGTCATGTTGAAGCCCGTCGGGTGACCAGCTTCTCTCTCCTCCCTGTCCTCTCCTGCACAGCTGCAGCTGCAGCAGACATGGCCTACCACCACATCAGGCCACCCATCGGATACTCCATTCCCAAGCCCATCTCCTCCCTGCTGATGAGAGGCTGGAACATCTGTCCAGAGGTGAGCCGAGACCTCCACAGACCGCAGTGGACACGGGCCGGTCTTTCACAGGCGAAGAGTTTCAGTCACACGGCCGTTCGAGAGCTGCAGCTGACCAGGAGGATGGTTTTGACAACACTCTTACGACAGCAGTGTACAGTGACCTAAGTGGAGATCACGAAACTGCTGTTCGGCTGGATTTTAAGAATAGCAAAATATTAAAAACATTAAAAACACACAATAAACATTTATTTCACAACTGGTAGTATATTGCCGTCCTTGGAAGACTTGAAAAGTATTACAAAATTACAAAAAAGTCTTAACAAACTACTGACATTATCAATATGTACATTACACTCAAAATATATTGGCTTAATCACCTAAGCGTAAAAATGACATAGTGTTATTTCTTGGTATTTGTACAGTAATCATAGAACAGGTGTTTTTAGTTGGTTCGTGAGGTGTCAGAGGCATACCTTAATAAAAAACAGTTTCTTGAACGCACAGGTTCTCTCTATTCAGTAGTCTCTGGCTAGGAGAGGTAAATGCTACAGAAGGTCTGTCTATCTTATTTTTTTCTCCAGTGCCGTCTGAGGCCCGCTGCTTGCTTTTTCCGGAAGAATGAGGCGGATCTTCCTTTGTGGGGAGCCCTCCACTGATGGGATGTACTCTTGTATGATACCTGTGCTGGAGCAAGGCAGATTCCTAGTGTCCCCATCGGCTGCGACCTCTGATGGAGGAAGCACAGTAGATGTTGCTGGGACAGGGTCCGCTGCCTGGGGAGAGTGGGCACCCTCTGTGGTGTTGGCGCTGTTGTTATTTGACTGATTATCTCCGTTGGCTGGTGTCTCGTTCTCTGAACTGAAGAGGACGGTGGCTGTCTGACGGGCTGGATTAGCCAGGAGTTTCTCAGAACTGCCTGCTGTTTCGTTTAGTGGAGTTATGGGCTCCACATTTCCCTCTCTCCGTGGCCCTTGGGAGTTCTGAGTTTGAGGTGTCAGGGTTTCCACAGCGCTGCCGCAAGGTCCTGCAACATCGCATGGGCCTCTTTCTCTGCCCGAAGTCAGAGTGGCTGATGCCTCATTGTCCTCGGTGTTCATGTCGGCTGGTGTAGGGTCCTGACTCGCAATCTGTTGCTCTTGAACGCTGACATCTTCGCTGTGACTTTCATCCTGGTCTCGTGGCCGAGTTAGTTTGGCTTGAACCTGTGCTCGGCCTTGTCCTTCTTGGGATTCGCTGTCTTCCTGGACTCCTGGAATGGGGCTTTCGTGAGTCTCACCAGCGCTGTGATCTAAGACCATCGCACTGAGGGACTGGTCTCCCTTTGCTTCTCCTGCCTTTTCTTGGGCGTCCGGTTTCGCTCCATTAACATTTTCAGGTTCCGAACCCCTTGGAGGAGGTGTCTCCTCACTCTCTGAGCACTTTCCGCTTTGTGAGTTTTTGTCTTCTGCTCTTTCGTTGTTTTGTAACTCCAGCGAGCGTGTTTCTTCATTGGAATGATGGTTTTCGGCTGTTCGGTCGCTGTCTCCCCCATTTTCCATTTCCTCGCTTTGAGGCGCCTGTGTTTCCTGCAGCTCTGCGGACGCCCCGTCCTCAGGCCTTTGTTCCGCAGAGGAGGTTTTTCTCTCCTTTCCTGCTGCCTCAGGCTGGGACGGTCCCATCGTCGTCTCCGCGGGACAATCGGGAGCAATTTCATTTTGCGGAGCCAGGTGGTGAATTTGTTTTCCACTGACGTTTTGAGATTTCTTGGTCTTCTTTGTGCTTCTCTTCTCTGTCTCCGAGGAGCGAGTTTCTCCGGACAGAGCAGGGACAGATGTGGCCTCGTTGTGTTCGTCTTTCTTCCTTTTCCTCCGCGAAAAGGCCAGCGTGTCTTTGCTGTTTGTTGCCTTGCTGGCATCTCGCTCAACCTCTTTTTCCAGTAGGCCCTCCTCCCCGCATCTCTTCCCTGGGCTTACTCTGTTTCTTCTGAAAGGGTTTACATTTATCTTGACTTTCAAGAAGCCGTTGGATTGAACCGCGTGCTTCCGTTTCTTAAAATGGGATCCCCCGTCACCCTGATCCCTCGCAGGAGTCGCTCTCGGCGAACGGTTCGAGCCCCGTTTGTCTTTCATCTTCAGATTGTCTTTTAAGCAGAGGTCTCGGATGGCCCACTCCATTTTTTCGTCGCGGCGGCCTTTTTTCTTCCGAGCGGAGATCAGGCGCACGTCCGGGCCGCGGAGATTAAAATGGACGCTTTTTTGCACCCGTGCTAATCTGACTGTTGGCGTTCCCATCCGATCTCCTGCCGCGCGGCTGTCGGGGTCCGGGGGGGCGTTAGCGGTGTCGCGTGGGGTTTCCCTGCGGAAAACGGCCGGCCCTTTCGAAAGACTTTCTTTACCGCGCCTGTGCTCTGTGGTGCTCCCCTCGCCTCTCCCCTCTCTCCTGTATTCGCCAGTCGTGTGGCAGTGCACACAGTTAACGGTGAGGTAGTCTGGCAGGGAGTGAATATGTGTACCCTCAGCAGCATGCCTGCCCTGAAATTCTCTGTGCGCGCCACCTATTCTCAGACCACAGTGCGTTGTGTTGTACAGGGCTGGTACACATGCAGGACAGGATGGCAAGCAGCTGTGTTGCTTACAAAGGTGCTCCTCGTCTCCGTTATAGCTGGCTTCCCGTTCGGCAGTTGTCCCAAAGCTGTCCGTGAACCGCTCTTGTCTTCCTGTCGTTTGTGTGGCAGCTTCCTGTCTCTTATATTGCATCTGTGCTCTGAAATCTGCAAAAGAGAGCAAAATGTTTAGTTTGTTCATTTTAAGAATGTATAATGTGGGGAAGCCATTGGCTATGTGAGAGGAGCTATGCAGTATATTTACATGAAAAGGAATCTTTAAGCACATCTGGATTGTATGCCAATATTGTATTCTTCATTCATCACCATTACTCTTGTTATGATGTTTTTAATATTAACCAGTTCATCTAATAGAATTGATACAGACATTAGGGCGACCAAATTCAATCTTCCACTGCTAATGCTCTGTTTTGCTGCATTTCAAAGAGTTTATATCCTTAATGAGGGAACATTTACAGTTTTTAAAGCAATTTTCATGCTTGTGTGCCTTAGTGCACAATTTGTGTGGCATTAGAGGTATGAACGTAATTGAATTTAAATGCTTTCTGTTTAATGCCTCCGTGAGCGAAATGTGGGGCTTCTTATTTAACAAAAATCTCTTTTGGAAACATCTTTTTTTCAGCTGCGTCTTTCACCCTGGAGAAACAGAAAACACAAGCCGAAAAGAAGGCCCTGCAGTGTTTATTCAGCAGTCTCGCAGCTTGTCACATGACCTTCAAGTCTCCTCACGGAGCCCCCGCTTTAATGAGGCTGTTATTTTTAATGAGTCGTTAGAACCCACCACGCATCCGTACCTTCACTAAACTTCAGGGCAGGCGGCCACACGTGTCTGTGCCTCTCCTCCCTCCGTGTCAGCCTCTCTTGTTCGCTGGGGCCGGTTGCTATCCGCCTGCCGCTGTGCAAAACAGGCGCACTGCTGCCGTCGGCTCCCTGATGCCCTCCTGGGCTCCCAGGGACCGAGTGTGCCTGGCTGCAGCTCTGCCACGCCACGTGCCGCTGTGGTCTGGCCGGCTTGCCCCCTGCTGCTACAGGCCTTGCCCACTCGCTGGCGCCCCTTTGCCTGTGGACCGTCCTGTCCTGCGGCCCCTGTCTGTTCGGGTGCATCAGCTGAGGGACGTGTCCAGGATGGACGATGGACAGGACTTGGACTTCATTGTCCTCGGTGAAAGTGCACCGGGGCGTCTTTCCGCCCTCCACGGAGCTGCTGGGGGAGCCAGCTTCTTCCCTGAGGCGCTGTCTCTGGGCCTTGTTGTGCTCCAGTCTGTGACAGATACAGTACAGCAGTGCCAGTGTGAGCCCCAGCGCTCCTGCAGGAAAACAAAACGGCAATCATTGCGTCTCGTTAGCTGCAGTTGTGAATGCTAATTATTTAACAGTTGCCTTCCTGCTAGGGCATGGCATTAATTTCATTTTTATAGCCGTTCTCAGGCTGTTCCACTTTTTGAAGACAATCATAAATGTGCAAATACTGTCAAAGTTAACTAGCATGACAGAGCTACAGGAGACTTTAGAGAATGAAATTAATGTTGCATTAGTCGTAATCAAACAGTTCGTATTTATCGTGATATTATATTAATCCAACAAGGGCACGCTCCGGTTTTCTTTCTAATAAAAAAGTAAGACTTTCTTCAAATATGTACTCAAACCCTTTTGCATAAATTTGAAAGAACGTTTCTCATAAAGACGTGTAGCCCATTTAATCAGTCAAGACACAGCTATATGAGACTGTTGAGCAGAAAGCTGTCTGTGGTGGCTTATCAGGACTAAATAATGTGAATCAGAATGAAAGTGTTTTGATATGCTGTTTTGTAACACTGAATTAATCATAAACACTTATTAAGAATAAGTGCAACACATAAGAATTCAGTTTGCATATATTGAAAAATTCCTACAATTTAAATTCTCGCAAAACTACATCTAACATGACATCATGATGATTGACTCCATTAAATATGGTAGCACCGTATCCCAGCCACATCCTAATGTTTGAATATCCCAGCCACATCCTAATGTATGAGGGCTGATTAGCTCACCTGAAAAGCAAAAGACAGCCGTTAACAGCATGTCTCTTACGTAACGTCTGTAGTCACTGGTTTGGACAGTTATGGTGATGTTCTGATTGGGCGGCACACAGTTCGACTCCGTCAGCTGCAGGATGGTTTGCACAGCTGGGTTGCTCGAACTCTGGCACGCCAGCTGCTTGCCGTTGTACAGGATCTTGCCTGGCTTCTCAATGTAGCTGCTGAGGAATTCCGACAGCTCCCGTAGCTCGCAAGAGCAGTTCCACCGGTTGATGTCCAGGTTCAAGGCCGAGAGCCAGGAGAGGTAGGAGAAAGCATCGGGGATGAGCGTGAGGCTGTTCCTCGACAGGTCTATAGACCTCAACCGAGGAAGGTTTGCGAAGCTGTCTCTGGCTATGTACGTGATCAGGTTGTCCGACAAATCCAGTGTCTCAAGGCTGCTGAGCATGGAAAATTCGAATGTGTTGCTGTCTAGCCTGGAAATCAGGTTCCCCTCGAGCTGCAGAGTGAGCAGGCTCCCCAGGTCTTTGAACCAGCTCCCCTTGACGACTTGCAGGGCGTTGTTCCCCAGTTGTAAGATCTCCAGGTGTGGGAGCTGGCTGAAGGTGGACTCGAGAATAGCAGAGGTTGAGATGCGATTGTGATCCAGCAGCAGTGCTCTCAGAGCCGTGAGGTTCCGGAAAGCGTTCTCCTCGATGTGTGCTATGGCGTTGTTGCTCAGGCCCAGCAGAGTCATATTGGACGGGTAGGAAAAGGACCTGTTGCGAAGGGAGTCAATGTTCCCATCCGTGAAGAGCACAGCCTTAGTCGTCAGGGGAACCTCTGTGTACAGGAGAACAGATGACACTTCAGGTGTGGGCATTTGGTTGCAGCGATGTGAAATGGGATTATCTGGCGTCAGTGACCGTGGGTGAGATTGCTTTGGGGATCAGCCGTACTCGTAGTCCTTTTATGAGGCACAGAAAAGGTCTATGGAATGACAAGCATTAAAGCTTCACCTCAGGGTCAGTCCGGCACAATGAATTCACTGAATTATTCAACACATCTGGCTTTCACTGCTTCATTCAGCACCATGGGGCGCAGCAGGATTGTGGTTGTGACAGTCCCACGTGCGCTGCAGACATGAAGTCTGCACATCCCCTTACCTATGACACTAGTCAGCCGGTGGCAGATGATGGCATCTTCTGAGCACACCACGCAGGAGGCAGGACACAAATCCTCGTGCTGAGCATGTGAGAGAGAAGCCAGCAGCACGAGGAGCACACCTGAAACAGGGAGGAAGTGAAGCCAAGTTACTCGCCTGAACCCTCTGATTAATTATGGGCCGGTGTTCAAACGATCACTAAGGGATTTTGCTATCTATTGCTTCTTTGCAGTAATCTGTGGCGGGTTGTGTTTGGAGGTCACTTGTTAACAGCCAACCTGACACTATAGGCCGCCAAAGGCCACTGTTATTTGTTAAATAGACACACTGGGTGATGGTTAATTAATTATACTATTGGATGTGGTTAATCTCACAGTCTCACATGGGAGTCAGATAGGAGAGGGTAGGGGGTATTGGGGCTATTGCATTACCTGCAGTTAAGCTTCCTGCACTGTCTGATATCATTCATTTTATACGTTCTGATCTCTTGAGCCATGTTATTGATGGTGAAGTCTGTCTGACACGCATAGTCTGTGGCTAATTTTGTTTTGAAGTTATAGACCAAGTCTTTGCCTGGGCTTTTCTGGTAAAAAGGAAATGGTAGGTCATATTTTTTCTGGTAAGAAAACCAGGAGTCAAATATAGAAAAATATATATTTGTATCGTTGTTTGCTTAAGTCGCCAGTCCCCATGGTGATTTAAAGGGTTAACAGTGCTTTTAAGTGCAAATGCAAAGGAAAGGATAGACATGATTCCAGGTCTGTAATGTGTTTACAAAATGTACTGCAAGACAAAACGTGCTATTTTGATATGTGGTTAAGTATAATTGGTAGATCTTCATTCTAAGTTTTATAGAAACAAGACATAAACCAACTAGATGTTCTTGTTGACTCAGGTGCTGTACAAAAGTACAAAAGTAAAAAAAAACACTAAAGATGCATCATGTAGATTGACTTACTTCTCATTGTTTCTGCTATTGTACAGGTAGCATGTTGTCGTGTTTTCTTCTCCACATCAGTGCAAGAGATCTGTGGCCTTTAACTTGTGATGCTGGGCTCATTGGCCTCCTCTTTCAGCTGGTGTCTGAACTACAGAGCACCTGAAAGACAGTCAGTGTAATTAGGTTTTTACAAAATGATGTGTGTTTTGCACTGATAATGGGCCTCAGAATGTTTCTGTGCATATATGCAATGGTGCTGTAAAAATAGTTCATCTGGAATATTATTCCCCTCTTACAGGAAAGACCAGAGTTTTCCGAAGTGGTCGCCAAGCTGGAGGAGTGTCTCTGCAATGTCGAGGTGAGGAAATTGGCTTGTAGCAGTTACTTGTGAGGGACGTTTTAGTGACTGTTGCGTTGACCAAAATTAAATATGGAGTGCGAAACGGAAAATGCATTTCCAACACATCAAATTCTGCTGGCTGTCGAATGGTGGTACTGAAAAAACGGTTGGTTCAGTCAGAGGAGTAGAGTGAGAGATTTTGCTTTTCATGCTCGAGTGTGTAAGTACTTGACGTGGCAAGAATTGGGAATAATTTGGGATATTATAATATCCAGGCCTCCATTCATTCATGAGTAAGTAGCCTGGAGCGTATCCCAGAAGCACAGATAGCCCTTTGCAGAGCACGGACAGACGCCAAGGTGCCCATCCAGCCTGTCTTTAAGAGAGGGGAGGAAACCTGAGGGAACATGCAAACCACACTTGAGCTGTTTTCCTCCATTTCAGTCGGCATTTCAGGTATATTGAAGGGGTTCAGCAGTGTAGGATAGCAGAGTGGCGCAGTGGAAGCCTGCGATGGGCCGAGACCGTCCTCTGCAGTGCTCTTTTTTCCAGAATGCACTGCGAGACACAAACCAGCAGGCACAGGAGGGAAACTTCATGGGACTGCGTTTAAAACCAGTCACAAGGACGCACTTCTGCAACCGAAGGGATTGGGGGGATCAAGCTATACCCAGTCGTGTTGCTGAAGCCGATACCCTGGCTTCTTTCGAGATGTTGGCTGGGGGAAGTCCTGCGATCAGTTATCTTCTACCTGCCGAATGGGATCGGAGATTTGGATGGCCTCCTGTTGTTTGTCATGTTCTTAATTCTTAACATTATGTTCTTAATGTTCTCCTGTATAGTTGACTGTTCTTGCAACAGGCAATATGTCCCCAGCTGCCATGTCAACGATTTGTACGGGCAGCCCTGGAGATCTTCCGAGACTGCGGGAGCGGGGAGGCTTTGGCAGGATGCCGGTGGAGGGTCGCTGCCTGTGATGCGGTCCGCTCTCTGACTCTCTTTCTCCCCCGCGTCCCACAGCTCATGTCCCCGGCCTCCAGTAACAGCAGCGGCTCCCTGTCTCCCTCCGCCTCCTCCGACTGCCTGGTGGCCCGGGGGGGGCCGGGCCGCAGCCACGTGGCCGCCCTGCGCTCCCGCTTCGAGCTGGAGTACGCCCTCAACGCCAGGGCTTACGCCGTCTGGTCACAGAGGTGGGACCTTTTCCCTTGTCACGCTGTGAAGGGGCGGAGCCTGCAGTAACGGTCACGGGATCGCTCTACAACCACCCCTGGGGCCTTCTGGGGACTCAAGGGGCTTGTCCGGGTGGGGGGTGGAGCTCTGCGACCGCGGGTTCGAGGCCTTAGCAGCGTACGACTGCCGAGGGTAGTGTGTCAGCACCTGGCCAGGGCTCTCAGAAACACAGGTGCTCTCGGTGAGAGACGCACCTCTCCTCCAATCGGCTTAGACCCTCCAGTATAGGGAGGCGGGTCTTGTGATGTCATAAAGGAGGTGTGGCCTGGAGGTGGGCGGGTCAGTGGAGTCTGCCAGCACTTCCTGATTCTCACCGGTGAGCTGCTGCACGACAACACTTGCAAACCACACAACTGGCTGTTCCAAATTGGGTGGGTAGATCTAAAATACTGGGCGCCTCTGTTTTTTTAAAGAAAATACTTCTGGATGGAATGAATTTGTGCGTGAAAAGAGAATGAATCAGCCTGCGCCGGACTGCGTTCAAAATTACATTTGCATCCTGGACAAAGTCATCATTTGAAAGGTTGTGACCTGAAATGATTTGCGAAGTATAGCTGTGCCATCTCTCTGAGGTAACTTGAGGATGTTCATCCATTTTCATCTCAGGAAAACAGCTCCTGCCCTTACTTGCCTTAACCTGAACTGATGTCATGCCCAAGCAAATAAGCAAATGTACTTCAAGGAGGCCTTGTCTGCCCGTCTTACTGTTTATCTAGCGATAAGGTGAAACATTCAAAACACTTCTCCTGCAACAGGTCCCCCAGTGTTGCTTGGAGACACGAGGCCAAATATAAAGAAAAGCAAATGTAATGAAACATGTATGACCTCTCTGTTGGATTAGCTGCTTGGTTGCTGTTTATTCATGCTACATGACTGCAGCAGGCAAGCCATGGCAACTGTTTCCAAGTATACAGTAACAAGGAAAGGAGACACACTGTGGGCTACTAAGGTTTCTGCTTTGATCGCACACGGTTCTTGGAGACTGTGCTACTCTTCCTCATCACCTGCGAGGCAGAGGCAGCTCTCTGGTGATACTGGGGGGGGAGGGGGGGTTGTCTTTGTCAGCTGATCTGCTCCTGCCCGTAGTCTACAGCTGCACAACTGCTGTACAGTCAGCACTGGCCAGCCTTCCTCCCCATTCTGAAGCTCATGGCAAAACCGTAGCATTTATCAGCAACAGGGCACCTGTCTTTAGCCATGAGGATGGCAGTGCCACTGCTCCTCGTCCTTTCTGTTTTAATGTCTACAGGTAGTCCTGGCAGATAAAAGGGTTTTGAGTCGAGCGTATATTGTCACCATGAAGGTACTTTAAGAAAACCAGTAGCCATTTCAATAGAATCACATTAGAACCTAACAAAAGATTCCTATACAATTTATTCAATCGTATCTAGGCTTATGATTTACTGCATAACAAGCGGTTCTCCTCTGCGCACATGGCTTCAGTGTCTGCAAAACTAAATTGGAAACGTGTACTGGTTCATGCCAGTAGAGTGTGTAGAGCACAACATGCAGTATTCTGAGAGCCCTTTCAGGCCCTTTCTGTGAACAGAGATGGACAAAATAAAATAAAATAAAAAAAGAATGAGTTACAGTATACATTTCATTATCCTGACCTGACAAGTGCTCTGGCGTCACAAGCTGCTTATATTCCTGATTTCCCCAGCAGTCTGCTGTGGTTGTAAGGTGTGAGGATGGTTCTTGTGTGTAGATTGGTCATCTAAAGTACTTTATAAGGGCACAACTGCTAGGTACCATTTTGTATTAGCTTTTTTTTTAATAGGATGTGTTTTTATGCCAGAGTCATTCCATTTTTAGTTGCTAGGAGAATTGATTTAGAATAGATGACTAATGCATAAATTGTAACAATCTGATCAATTATGTTTCATTGTTGTAAAATCCCTGATGTATTTTGGAGCTAAAAATGACTTGTAAAAAATAGACAAGTGTTAAGCAGCACACTCCATGTAACCATATACAACCTTTCTTAATTGCAGCTGAACGTTTGGCTGGCTGTTTTCTGAATATGATCCCACCTTCAGATACAGATCGCTAAAGAGGGGATGGGCTCTGAGCACAAAATAAGCTTAACAATAAAGTCAAGCTTAATCTTCTCTAGGTTGGAGCCATAATTTCACAGATTCAGAAACAAGCCAGTCCACACTACTTACATACAAATCTCACATTGACGGTGCATAGAGAGATGTTTCATCATAATGCAAACTGGTAGCTTACCTCTTGTCTGACTTCTGTGGATCAGTTACTTAATGGTCCAGAGCCTCAGTACAGCAAACTTTTATCCTCCAGAATGCATTGTGTTACTATAATCCCTCCTGGGTTGATCAGATGGTCCTTAAGTACTCTAAGTCATCTCGCACTCTTGTTATACACCCATCAAAACAAATTGAGCCTGAAAGAAACGATCTAAATATATTAGAATCGTCTTCTAAGATTACAGTACCGTTGGACTGGGCATGCTCAGCTTGTGACAGCTGTTACCTGAGACTGGAGGCTCGGAGATGGTGTTCACCTGACAACAAAGCAGCGTATGCGCTGTCCAACTTTATTTATTTTTTTAATAAAGTGCTGAACTCTCAGACTACAAAACGGGCAGGAAATACAGGCTGGTGGCTCCTGACTTTTGTTGAATCTTTCTTCTTTCACCAGCACTGGGCGGAGATCCTCTCAAGGCCTGTCCCTGGATGAACTGAGGAAAAACCTCCAGTTTCCTCCCATTGACAGGAATGGTAGGTTTTTCCTAAGTGACCGTCACTCATTTAGTATTTGCGCAAACTGCATATTGTATTGCGGAATTTGAAATTAGTTTATGCTAATGAGAACTGTTTGTTTATAGAACCATCAGCAATGCATGTGCAACAAAAGAATCAAGCAAAAAAGACAGGTATACACAAATTAAAACTGTAAATTAAACACAGTTAAAAGCTACCTAAGTACATATATTGAAGTATGTAACTGCGTTTTAAGACATTTTAAGACTGTGTTTGAACAGACAGATTCACTTGGAAGATCTGATATGGGCTAGGGGATCACTCCACAGCCTTGGAGTCACAGAGCAGAAACATGGACTCATACTGTGAATCACACAACAGGAGGGACTATGGGGAGTTAACAGTACCCAGATGTAGTCAAGTGCCAAACATTCACGGCCTTAACGATCAGTATTTTAAATGTGCGGCGCAGTGAAACGAAAACAAATCATTTCTGCTCGTGCTGGTTAGTTTTGTTTAAAATCCCATAGCATTATTTTGGTGTAACATTGAGTCCTTATATAATTCCTATATATTGTATAATGTGGGTTTTGTAAAGTTCTCTCTCAAGTGTCTCGATCAAACCCATAACTTGTCCAACAGGATTGTGGTAATTTTTCAGGCATGTGTTGTGGCTGAAGTGCTGCACAGATACAAGCTCCTCATTGGATTTCAATGCAGTTAACAGTAAATAATGCTAATGCTCAGGGCTCATTTTGGTGTCTGATTCCTTTTGCACAGGGTATGTCTCCGATCCTATGAGCACCATGCGTTTTCACTCCTGCAGCAGTAACGGGAGCTTTGAGGACAACAACTGACTTGGGTGTAGTTAACAGACAGCTCATTAAGAAGCACCAGCAACACTGCCAAACGTCATGTGAACTGTCCAGTTGCAAAGAATTTCAGATAAAGTGGACAACAAAAGTACATGCTGCCAGTTTGTGCGTCTTCTTATTTGCAAACAGAAAACGGATTTTAAAAAATGCACGTACCTGAGTGAGAGTATACGTAGTTCATGTTCTTAGCTGAAATTGCTTTATTCATATGATATGAATTGGCATTTAAAACATTGTTTGATTCAATTAAAAATAATAATCAAAGGAAATATGTTTCTACAAAGTTTTGCTGTTATTTTTAGCTTGTCTGGGGAAAATAAGTCCAGGACACCAGTTTTAAATCGCACTGTTGGTTTCATCACTGTATCCTTTCCTTGCATTAACTAATTTATTCACCCATAAGGAGTTTTGGCTTTGTTCTTCTTAGATGAAGCATTTAAAGGTCTGAAGGCCTCATTAATAGTGATGATAACAGTTCAGAATTGCAAAACATTGCAGGCAGTGTACTTTTAAGAACTCTCTGAACATCAGTGAATAATAAAAAACAACAACACAAAAGCAATTTTATTTCAGACTCTTTATTGAACACAAATATAATTAAAAATCATATAGTTTTTATGCAGTATACAGTTTATTCAAAAAACATTATCTCACAATTTCTGAATAGCAATAGAATATAAATACGCTGAACACTTTCTGTACTTCCTGAGCAAGCTTGGTCAATATAAAGCACATTTTAAGCTGCAAAGCTTAGCTTGGTTTCTCGTGTGTTTTTTATTCTTGATAGTGCAAAAACAGCTGCACAAATCGCAAAATTGTGAGCAAGCACTGTCAGACTAGGGCTACATAAAGTCTGAATTTGTGTTCTTCAAAATGAAAAGCTTCAACAATTGGTACAAAACTGTTGCTTCTTTGATATGCTATTAAAAATATGTTAGTAATCTAAATTTGTAACACATTGGCAATTTGAAAAGTCAAAAATGAATAAAGTAATTTGTTCCTTACAAAGGAGGTTTTGCAGAAATCATTTTTTACAACTCCTTTTCAGTATCTTAACAGCTGTATGTAAATGGTAGTGTTATGAAACATTGTCCCTTTTCTAATCCCTGCGCATAAACTACTGTGAAGAAAGAAATACACTCAAGGATTCACAATTCAAGGGAAAACATTTTCAAAATTCGGCATGCGGATTTCTTAAAATATTTGCTTAACGTGTGCTTGTGTAGTGTCGATATACATTTGTCATGTTGACATAGTTTGATCACTTATGACTTCAAAAGCTGAGCATGATTTTATTTAATATTTTTTCATATTCTGACGTACAACCTTTCTAATAATAAAAGCCACTGGTCTTTTGAGAGAAAAAATATTTTCACTGTATCATATCCTTCTGTCTTCAGAGTAAAATCAGGCATACACAAATGCAAACATTTCTGTCTTCTCATTAGAGAAAAGTAAAGTGTCTAAATCAATGTATTGCACAGTGCTTTCTCATTTTCCATCTCTGGAGAGATGCACACAAAAAGTGCTTTTAAGTGCAAGCTTTGTTAAAGACTGGATTGGTGTGATCAAAGGAAAAACCTCTAATTTTTGCATTTCATGAATTCTGCATGATTGCGATGTGGCCACGACCAGTGGGTTTACTTCTTTCCCCTCAAATGGCGAGTCATTCATCGTCAGGGGTTTATTCTCCCTCGGAGGGTCAGTATGAATTATTTCTGTTCAATGAGTCAGGCTGTGCGGAGTATCCGCTTTCAAGAACCTGATGAAAGGTGAATTCCATAGCAGACGCTCTGAAGAGTGTGTACTTCACAACCGATCACTAGAAAGACACCTAAGCAGGGGCAAAGTGTGACCAGCACCTATTACAGGAACTGCTAAAGGGAGAGAACATATTACCACAAACATCACTGTTATTGATTGAGCCACTAGGAAGCCACACTATCACAGAAGGACAGCTGGATTGTTCTTTCACCTTCTTTAGCGAATGTATGTCATTTATTTATGCCAAGCTAGTTTGCTGCTGGTGTCGGAGGACCAGTAGGAGGTGCTCCTGCCCCGGACCAGAATTGTCAAACCAGTACCCCAGTAAGGTGGCTGGGGGGGGGTACTGTGCTGTAGGCAGCACCATCTTTCCGTTGGGATCTACTGCCTGCCGAGTGAGATTGATGACTACTTGGTCACTAGAGTTCTTCCTTAATTCGACTGATGAAGCCCTCCTTCACGTCTCTAGCTGTCCTGCTGCGCAGTGGGGCTGCTAGTGCATATTGGCTGTTGTCCGTCACCCAGGGAGTTGCTTCATCTTGTACGTCCTGCAGTGTCTAGACTGGAGGTGGTGGGGGGCTGGAAGAGTGGCAACATTGCAAGATCACAGGCACCCAGAAAGGCAAAGGGCCTCTTTTTCATGGCAGGTGAAGGACACCCCCACTTGCTCCAGCTCGAGGCACAAGGTCAGAGTTCGCTCATGCCATTTGACCTAGGCCCACTTGAACTGGCAGGCTCTTAGCTGCTGGCTTTATATAATGAGCAGCCAGGAGCCATTGCCAATGAAACATCTATCAGCTCAACACTGAAACCTGCAGTGGGAGTTAAGCTTCGCAGCCGGTATAAAGACTTCTACCTTAAATGGTGTTGCAGACATAAATACTGAAAAGCATTTTTACATTTAATTCGTTAAGGCTGATATCCCCATTTATATATATATAAAAACTATAGGCTTAAAATATTATTTTACCGAGTTTGAAATACTTTCTAAGATGGTTTAGTTATGGTCAAGGAGGTCTGTGATGTGTGACTGTTTTAATGGTGCACAGTCCTCAGTGAGCATCTTTTTTAAAGCAGTCTAAGTACAATACTCAAAGCTGGAGTTTTCTACAGCGCTTTTTGTGCTTACAGCATACTCCCTTTTCATGCAAAATGTCACACCTGTAGTGCCTAACCTCAAAGTACATTTGTTTGCAGTATTATGAGTTTTCAGGATTTGAAATGCCGTGGACATGGTGAGGCTGATTGGAGAAGCGGGGACTGACACACGGAAACATGCACATCAGGTGCCCAAGCCTTGCGATGCCTCTGCTTCAGAACCGAAACCACCTTCTTAGGGATCCTGAGAATTGAAAAAACAAATCACAAAATTTTTTAGTTTTTTCATTTATATTCTTTAGAGACCTTTTTATTATTTTGTCTGTTTAACTGAAAGCAATCCATACAAAGTTCTATGCCTTTAAATGCAGAAAGAGTAAAGTATCCCGTCTGTCAATTACTTTCTTATTGAGCCTTGGGTGAATGCTGTCATGAACACATTCTATAAATACAGTAACAAGTGCTTTTGAGTATTAACATGAGTTCATAATCAGACAAAACAGTAACATTTGCATTCATTTGGTTTTGAATAGAATGTGCATGCTTTATAGATTATGTTTTAAATTTTAACTTTATGTCTCTCAATGTTGAGATAATAAATACATACAGTATCAGGATGTAAGGATAACTGCTATTCATGTTACTATAGTAGAATTTCAGATTAGACAAGTATTTGAAACTGTTACACTATGGTTCTAGTATTGTTGGTGAGGTACAGTTATAGCTTTGAAAAGTATATCTTCCAACATTAAAATATTATCTTACATTAATTTAATGCACAATGTCCTTTGACATATTACTCTTTCCCTTTTGGAAAAAAAATCAATTTACTATTTAAAGGATTGCTTTAGAGCAAGTGGTTTGAATTTTAAAAGTATGTTGGAGGATTTTGTCCTTATATTTAATGCGTATTTCACAACCCTCTTATTTGTATTCTCAGATGGAGATTTTCAACTAACCACAAGCCTATTTACCTGTGTGTCTATGGTGTGACGTTTCTGATTGTTCTTAAGCGGTGTGCGGATTTCTGTCACTTGCAGAGGCTGCCAATGAATTCACAGGAGGTTGTCCAGTCTCGGCATCCTGTAGTGAAAGTGGCTGCTCAGGAAGAAGTTGAGTTTCTCTTTCTTGTTCCATTCTGTCTGCTGCTTTTCTGTCACTGTCAGCTTGGACAGCCACAGTCCCAAGATCTGGAGCTTCGGTTGTGTCCTCTTTGTTGTTCTGTGGTTCGGTGGGATTGCTGTCCTTCAGGTATTCTGGAGCAGTTTCTTCTGGTGTCTTCTGCTCCTCAGTCTTTTCTTTGGCAGGCTCAGCTTCCTCTGTAGCGTCTTCTTTGGCAGGAGAGCTCCCGATCACCAGCTCCTCAGTCACCGCTTCCAAATCAGGATCTCCTCGTGTTTTAGTCCACACCTGCTCTTCCTCGGCTACGCTTTCCACTTCAGCCTTGGATTCAGAGTCACTTCCAGGCTCCTTTACTGCGGTCTCATCCTCTGACTCAAAGCTTGCTTCTCCGGTCTCCACCTCAGACCTCGCAAGTGGAGGCGCTGACTTGGTCTCGGACTCTGCTTCTTCTGCTCCAGAAGCCACAGCCTCTGGTGCCCGCTCCGTGATCTGCGAATGCAGGTCTTCCACCACCTTCGATCCGCCCTCCTCCTCTTCCCCTGCCTCCTCGTCGTGCTTGGGCTCCACTTCTTCTGCCTTGGCTGAAAAATCATCCTGTTCTGTTGCGTCTGTTGGCTCTGTGCTGCTTTGAAGCTGTGCTTGTTCTGTACACATTTCTGTTTCCACCTCTTCCGTTCTTGACTGAGTTCCCGAGTCTTGCTTTTCTGCGTCTTCACTCTCTGGTTCAGGGTCAATCTTATCATCGTTTCCTTTCCTCTGATGCTCTGAATCATTGTCCGGGGCCTCAGACTCTCCAGTTTCATTTCCTACAAGATCCTTAACACCAGCCCCTGCCTCATCTTTGTTAGCTTCGTCCTCCTTTGCAGTGTTGTCTCTCTTGTCTTCGGGGCCTGTGACGTTTTCAGCTTCTTTGTTTAAACTTTCCTCTTGTTCTAGCTCACTAGGCTCAGCTTGCACTTCTGCCTCATCAGCCATGCCCCCTCCCTCTCCTACCTCGGCCCCGGGCTCCTCTGTTTTTCCATCAGCCTCCAGCAAGTTCTCCTTGGCTTCACTTTCTTCTGCCTTAGCCTCTGCCTCATTCTGTTCTACACCATTTACCCCTCCTTCCGTAGCTTTATCTTCTGTCATATGTGCATCTGTGACCTCAGGCCTGGTCTCCCCTGTTTCTGGATGTTGTGTGTTAGTGCTCGACTCTGTTTCTCCTGCTACAGGCTCTGCTTCAGCGTCCTCTAACTTTACTGTCTCTCCAGTAGCTGTTTCCTCAGGTTCCTCTACCTCAGCTGTACTATCCACCTGTGTAATACTAGACTCTTCTGCTTTGATCTCTGGTGGCTCAATCTCAGGAGGTGCTTCTGATTCTGTGTTGATCTCTGACTGATCTTCTCTACTCTCGGTCACATCTTTTGCCTCGTTCTCACCTGCCTCTGCCTCCAGCCTTTCTGTTTTGATTTCAGAATCTTTTACTTCGCTTTCTGTAAGCTCTGCTGCAGCTTCAGTCTCCTCCTGCTTATCTGCAGTTTCCTGTACCTGAACGTCAGTTTCTGTTACATAACTTTCTTCTAATTCTGCTTGATCCTCAGCCTCTGTTTTAGTCTCAGTCTCTTCTTGCACAGCATCTGTCACACCTTGTTGTTGCTCTCCTTGCTTAACCTCAGTACCTTCTTCTATAATCTCATTCACCTTGTCTGTCTCTCCTACCCCAGCAATACTCTCTTTATCCTCATCCTTAGACTCCTCTGGCAAAGCTGTCACCTCCTCTGACATATCTGACTTCACATCTTCTCCCGCTTCCAGCGGTTTACATTCAGGGTCTTCTGCTTTTGACTCATTCAGCTCCTCCTCACAACCGGCCTCTGCCTCCTCTCCTGCAGCCTCACTCCCTGTGTTTACTTTGTCGTCTTCTCCTTCAGCCAGTGTTGCTTCTTTCTTACCCTCAGCTGCTTCTGCTCCTGGCTCCTCCTGGTCCTTACCTACCTCGCCCTGTTCCTGCTTGGCTCTGGCCTCTTCCTGTCCTGGGTCATCCTCTAATGCTTCTGTCTGGGCTTCAGCGTCTTCTGCTTGAGCCTCCTCGTCCTCTTCAGTCTCAGTGTCTCCCTCTGCAGGGCTATCGTCTACACCTTCAGCCATCATTACTGGCCCTTCTGCCTCAGTGTCTGACCATTCCTCTTCTGCCTCTGTCTCATTTGCTACACTGTTGGTTTCCATCTCTTCTTTTCCTACGGCATTGTTTTCTGCCTCAGCTTCGATCTCTATTGCTTTGGCTTGTATCTCATCTGCTGTCTGTTCCAAATTTGCTTCAGAGTCTTCCACCTCACCCTCAGTCTCTTCTTCCTCAGCAGTGTGCTCTGTTTCCACCTCGGTCTGTGCTGTAACAGTACCTGTCTCAGGCATAGCGTTTTCAGCTTCAGCCTGTTCAATGTCTGTTGTAGTGTCTTCAGGTTTGTCATCTTTAGCTTCAGTTTCTTCATTGTCTGCTATGGCCTCAGCCTCTTTTACCTTGTCCTCCATCTCTTCGGCACCGTTTCCTCTGTCCCCTGCCCATTCCTCAGCCTCTTTGATTTCAGATCCTAGTTCTTCTGTCTGAGCCTCGCCAGTTTCTAACTCAGTCTCTAAGTCTTTTCCCTCAGTCTCAGGCTCAGCATCCTCTGCTTTGGAATAAGGCTCCAGCACGTCTCTTGTCTCTGGCTTTTCCTCATGCTTAAAACCGGCCTCTTCCTCAGCTGTTTGCATAGGGTCTTCTTTTTCCTCTTGTATGCCTGCAGCCTGCTTCAGTGAAAAAGCAATGGCATCCTCTACTTCAACACCTAGAACCAAGATTGGGAAGTCAGGAAAAGGAACAGTTCAGTTGCAACATGATTTCTGGGAAAAAGCCAACACTAAATCAGGTATGTATTATAACAAGATACACACCAGCTTTATAGATAGTAACTTTGTCAAGATCTGTGAATAGTAAAAATATGCCATTACTCAGGACCAAAACAAAGCCAATGGAAAGCAGTCACTGTACCACTGAAACCCTGATCCACAGTTTGTTCTGCAATGGAAGTGTCCTCCTCTTCATCGGTGCTGGAGTCGCTTGGTTCTGGCTCAGAACTGCAGCTTGCCTGGTTCATTATCGCTTCAGCCAGTTTCTTCTGAACTGACTTGGCTTTTTTTATTTAAAAAATGCACAGAAACAGAAAAGCAGACAAACAGACCATGAACTTTACCATAAACTTTACCATGAACTCGCATGTGTACCAGCTCCTATTGCACAGCATAAATGTACAGAAAAGGCACAGAATGTATCCGATTATGTGATTTAACGACTTCTGTATTTCTCACGTTTATTATATTAATATATAGTATCACAGTTAATGCACTGATTATTTATGTCTTACGTGCCATCATTAATAAAATAACAATGTGGGAAAAGAAAGTCATTTACTTGGAAGAGATTTATTAAAGGGCAAACTTACAATTTTCAAAAGTAGAGAAAAAAAATTCCACATTTTTCACGTGCACTATAGGAAATTAAATTGGTTACATATAATGATCTATGAATATTTACAAATCAGAGGTGAATAATAATGTGTTCCATTTGGGTCCACATGACACAAATATATATATATATTTCCGTTCTGGAATCAGTCCAGTAAAGACCAACCGGGTACATTCCTGGATGAAAAGAAATATCTTACACTGACAGGTTAAAAGAACTGAACCCTTTTAGTCTCGAGCCAAGAAGACTATGTGAGAACCTGATTAAGGTATTCAGAATCCTGAAAGGCACTGACAAAGTCAACCTGGTGAACTTCTCCAGAATGAGCAGTGAAACGCAAACAATAAGCCACAAAGCAAAATAAAAACACAAAATGAGTGAGTGCATTCCAGATGGAGAACCCGTGCACTTCTTTACAATGGTGTGGTGGGAGTCTGGAACAAGCTACAGTGACAGACAATGCTATTGCCTCTTCTAGGATTCCTGGATACAGTATATAAGCTACTTAAAACCTGTTTGCAGAGACTCTCATATTCATGTACTTTTTGTGAACAACAAACATCGGGGGTTTTCAGTCATAGGCAGACAATGCATGTCTCAGAAACAATAAAACAAAAATGAAAATCGAATGAGCTGAGGTTTGCACATTCAGAGGGAATGCGCCCACTGAACTGCTTGTCAAAAGTTGGATACATTTAAGTGAATCACCACTGGCAGACTACAGTTTTTTTTAAGTTATATGAAGACAATAAGCTCACAGGAAGATTAATCCAGACACCCACACATTTTTGTTTAAAGAAGCATTTCCTAAATCAAGTTGCTTTTAATTTCCAATTCGTTCTCAGGATCTTTGTCTTACTGATTCTGAAACAGTCCCCTGGACTGAGCCAGTCTTTACCCCTTAGGGTTTTATACACTTAAGAGACGCAAAACTTGAATTTTAATCATCCACAGCAATATTCTGAATCAATATAAAACAAAACTTTGGAATAGATACAATTTTTAAGTGTTTTCTGAATTACAGTCTTCTTTTGATTTTTAAGTACAGCACAGCAAACAACCAAAAAATAAGAAAACAAAACAAATGCACAGCACACAGCACAGTATTTTCAGTATTGCAAAATTATACTGTACCACTATTACTTGACTCAGTCTGCCAAATTTATATAATGATATGAGAATGGAACGTCCAATAAATAAATCTAATCCAAAATCCAATCCATCACTCATAAGTCATATTAATTTTGTTAGTCAAATCAGAGGCCCAAACCAATATCTGTAATTATATTCTGTGCCCTATTATAACAGACTGAAGGCTCAACCTGAAAATACTGACATCACAAAAAAAGTAAAAGCAAAACACAAAAACATCCAGGCTTTACATTAATGAAGAAGAAGCTAAGCTATTAACATGCTTAAATGATTTTTTTTTATTCTAATACATTGATATTCATTTTAAAAACATGCATGAAAAACCACAGGTGCAGATCAAACCCAATTACAGCACACAGAAGTATAAGAACTTAAAATCTGGAAACACGGACTTCAGGGCACAGCTCTGAAGAGCTGGGATACTCACCCCTACCCAACTCTATGTCACCACCAGGCCCTTCAGAGAGTTCTTCACTTAGTGCATCAGTCTTATTATCTTTAGTGGGAAGGCCAGCATTCTCTTCCTTCCCCTGTGTAAGACTGTCTTCTTCTGTCCTGCATGGCTCAGTGCTGTCCCTTTCGTCGTTTTCTTTCTTTTCCACCCCCTTCTTGGGACCTTCCTGATCTGCAGCGTCCTTGCTCCCCATCTCTTCCGATTTTGGGGTTTCTGCCCCGGCCTGGGTATTTCCTGCCTCCTCTGCTTCAATGACCTCCTCAGGAGGGTCCTGCTCTTTGTCACCACCAGCTAACTCTTCATCCAGCTGTGGCTGCTCCTCCAGCTCCTGGGCAGCCTCAGAATCAGCTCTGGGTTCAGAGCTTGATGTGAAATGGGAGGAATCCTTGATTTCTTCATCTTCCACTTCTTCTTTAACCTCCTCTTTCTCGCTCTCAGACTCCTCCTTGCTGCTGCTGGAGGAAAACAAAGCGCTTCTAGAGGAAACCGAGGATTGTTTTCTATTCCCTGCAAAGGAGAAGATGCATCTGTGAGAATGGGTGTTTTAGAGTGGGGTGTCCATAAATTCCTCCCATGCCAGCAATGTGAACAACATTCTCATTACAGCTCTTTGATTTAAAGCAACAAGGATTTGTTATTTTTCTGGGCCTTTGTGCCTTAAAATGTTCCCTCACCTGACTTCTCAACCTCTTCAAACTCACTGTCAGTGTATCCTTCTTTCTCATCTCCGTCACTGTCCAGAAGATCCGTCTCTTTGTCCTCTGTCCTGCATGTGTTGGAATCCCTTTCATCATCGGATCCTGAATGCGATTTCGCCACCACAACACTGGCCTCTGATTTCATCTCTTCTTTTTCTTCATCAGGCTTCTCATCATCTCCTTCAAAATCCTCCTCATAATCTACAGAAAGAGAAAATGACCATTTTCAATACCCTTTATTTTAAAAAGACAGGCCAATCATACACACAAAACATCCAATATTGTAAGTTTCAGAAATGCATCTGGGTTTTTAGTTGAGCTTTTAAAATATTATGTGTCTGATTAAAGAAAAAGAATGACAAAATTTATATCTGGGAAATGTGTAGCAAATTTAATGCAAATTTTTTTACCCTACCATCTGTGGGTTTTTCTTGTTTTTCTTCGTTCTCTTTGGGCATCTCCTCTTGAGTTTCTGTTTCCATGGGCTCATCGCCTTCAGCCTCCTCCTTAGAGGCCTCATCGGCTGATATGTGTTCCTCCTTAATATGTTCTCCGTCATCCTCTCTATTCTCCTCCGTCATCTTGACTGACCCCTCAATGGAGCCCTCTTTCTCTGTGTCCTCCTTTATCCTTTTAAGAGGGGGAGTAGGCTTCTTATCTAAGCCCAAGGCAATGATGCATCTGAGGTCAAAGAGCAAGACCAGAGAATGAGATGCAATGCTCTGATCATGCATATGCACCATCCCAGAACTACAGTGCAAACCACCTGTTCCTGTGAAGTACACCTATAACTGAAGAAAGGAGCAATTATTTTGAAAATAATTCAGAGAGGGCTAACGTGAATATAATGCAGTAAGCCTTGTTCAGGAAAGATACTTTTCAGGCTGTCCATCTTTGATTGCAACCTGTTTTTATCACACTAATGCAAAGCTCTTACTTGTAGCACGGAGAAGCCCCATCAACACTGACAAAGCCAAAATGTCCATGTTTTCCACCCAGTCGGGATCCTTTCCGATGTTTAAATTCACAGCAGGAGCTCAGTCTGTCGACTTGCATCCCATTCAGGAAGAAGGTAAGACTGAATGGAAAACCACAGTGGCGCCTGGAGACAAACTGAAATGTTTCTGTAGGAGGTGAGGGAACCATTAGCCTCTCAGCACAGTACTTCAGTCTAATTAAACACATAAACTATCACATCTGCTCTTAGATTTTTCAGTACCTAACCCTGTCACCCTGGTGCCTGGAATGTCTGTGACGTCCCTTGAAGCTGTGGACTATCTGATGTTTTGTCTAAGCCAATACTCATTTTGAAAAGGTTAATGACTATTAGTTCTGCTTTCTGTAAGTAATGAGTATGTGTTACTGAAAAAGAAAACTGAATATGACTTACAAATGAGGTTTTTACCACAAAAATAAATATCTCATATTAATGAGATAATTCATAATGTCTTATGAATTTAAAACAGTAGTTACAAAGGTTGAAAAAACAGAAGCCATTCTTATGCAGGACATACATAAGATAGACGTTAGTGTCACATTTTAGTGTCTTGATAAACTTGCACATTCTTAAACATGGCTGACGAAACACAATCTGTTGACTAATCTACTGACCTCCTTCCAGAAGTTTTCCTTTGTAAACACAGAGATTTTCTCCACCACAGTGCTGCTGGAATACTTTCACCTCATCCCTTAAATCCATGTTATCATGAGACAAATGAACAGTCTTTCCACAGTAGATCATAGTGATGGAAACATTGCTGTGCGCGGATGTCTTATGGACTTTGATGTCCTGCACATAAAAATGGACTGCATTGTAAACCAAATAAAATGTTGATTGTAATTCAACAGTGTGTAAAGTAATTGGAAAATGTACAGTATGTGAAAAAGAAGTAGTGTTCATGGGAGACTTCTACTTTGCTCACACAGACTAAGAAACACCTACAGCAACATCAGCACCACAAACAGAAATCTTAGACATGGTTAATGGCAGTTTGTCAGAGCAGTTTTTCTTTTAGGAAAAAGAAAACTTAGCAAAGACAGAGTGACACAAAAAGAGGCGAGTGAACCATTATGGAACTGTGATCACAATGTAGCGTGCTTTGAAGTATGTAGCGCAAACCACATAAAATATTTATATCGCTGCCCCCCCCAAAAAAAGATGCATTACTTTAAAAGCTGACCTCTGAAAAATGCTTTTATTAAAACCCAGAGCAGACAGAAAGGTATAATTGTATTAGACTTAATAACTTCTGCATTTACCTTTGTTGCTCCAAATACATTTGGGGCAGTAGTGGGCCGCAGTCTTCTGCCTCTTGTCGTCCCGTTAGGAGTTCCTTTAAAACTCCTCTCGTTTCTCTTTGTGGGGGGTGGGACTGGGGTGATATAATTATTAATGACTGGAAGACGGTAAGGGGATATGCCACTGTTAAGGTCTGTCAGGGTTAAATGTCTCCCGGTATCTCTGTCCAGCTGGAATATAATATGGTAAGAATCAATCATCTCAGGTTTAAAATAATTAAACCAGCTTTGTCTTCCAAAACAAGCCCAATAAATGCCGCTCTTTCACAAGGCGATCGCTGCCTGTGAACATGCTAATGTAAGACTAGGAACGCGCGACAGAAGGGCTCTTGTCAGCCGAGTCCTGGCCTCACCGTGTAGTGGAAGTGCTGCTCGTTGTCTTCGGAGAAGCTGCTGTGCTTGTAGGCAGGAGAGGGCCGCCTGATTGAGGCCTGGGGGGTGTGGCTGTGCAGGGGCTGCAGTCGGACAGGCCTCTGCATCTTCCCCGGCGCCGTGTTGGGGCGCGATGAGTTCGGCTGCGAGGTGAGCGAGAGAACAGCACGGGGTGACTTTGCTGCTCATACACCCCCACCTCTCGCGATCTCGCAGCTAATGAAGCTCAGCGCAGACACGTGCAGGTCTTCACGCGCAGGTAGCAAAAAAACAAACTAGAAACACATCTTAAACACTAAAGCCACTTACGAAAAAGACTTAGGTGCTCATGTTGGCAGATCATTGACATTTTCTAGACAATGTGGGGAAGCAATTTAAAGGCAAACAAAATGTTAGGGTATATAGATAAAACCAAAGAATTTAAAACCGCAAGCCCCTCCCCCACCTTTTCCATATAGAAAGATGGAAAAGGTTTTGTTTCTCTGGAATCAGTCCACAGAAGAGCAACAAGATACATTTCAGGGCTTAAGGGAAATATCCTATGCTGACTGGATGAAGGAACTGAAAGTTCATCAGAGTAGACCTATTATAAAGTCCTTTCAAACGCACAGAAAAAGGTCAGCCCAGCAAACCTTTTCACGATGAACAGTGGAACATTAAAAAGAGCACAAGTGGAGCCTATGTGGAAATGCATTTACAACCGAGAGGAGGAGGCACTTCTTCACAGAAAGACTTGTAGGAACAAGCTACCCAGCCACGTGGTTGAAGATACCATGGTTTCATCCAGGAAAAGGCTGGAAGAGATCTTTGGTTCAGTTAGCTACTGACTGCCAAACAGGCCAGATGGACTGAATGGCCTAGTCTCGCTTGTAATCTTTCTTATGTTGATTTGAAATCCATAAGGTGCTGAAGAAAGACACAAAAACAAACAGTAGCAGTTCAAAACGCTCTCAAGAGGCTGCATCAGTCCTGTTGTTGCTTCATTTTTCAGATAAGAGTAGGATGTTGCCATGTACTTCAGGCTTTGTGGGCAAAAACATATTCCTACTTGTCTCCATTCAGATGCGTGTACACTTGTTTTACAACTCCTATCTCACTAACACTGCCTTGTGAAGGCATGCCTTAACACATTCTGGTTAGGTTTGTTAAGACAGGGAAAGGTTTATGAGAAAATAAAACATTTTACCGCTAAGACATCCTAGTAAAAAGAAAGAAAGATCAAATACAAGTATTTAGTACGTTTTTAAAAACTAAAAATCATGCATGGACAAACTGCACTGAATGCTTGAAAAACTATGTACCTGCTTTTAGCTAAATCTGCTTTTTTCCTTGTAAATACAATGATGGCAAAAGGCTCAGCAGACACTCAAGTGGAGCTTACATCCACACCTGTTCTGAAAGGATCATTTAAACAACCTAGCAACTATCTCCTTAAGTTAGCAAAAAATGCAAACAAACAATAATTCAGATCAGTTCAGTTACTGTTGACATATCCTTTCTGTTACAGTATTAAACAGTGTAAAATAACTGATAGTGAAACAATGTTGAGCAATGTAAGCACAGTGTAATCTCCATCAACACACTGCAAAACGCTCAAAGCAATTAAGGTATTACAGATAGATTACAGAACCATATTAGCTCTTCAGATTAAAGAGTGTGAATAATGTGTCAATTATGTTATTATAACAAGCTCTTGAGTTCTTGCCTCCTGCTGCTTTTGGAAAAAAGAAATAGTCAAAGTAAGAGCAGTCTTCCATTTGAAAGTCATTTTATTTTTTGGAGCACTGCAACACATACACAGTAGTTCAAACCGTGATGACTCCATAACAGAAGCTAGCTTGCGTACAAGTCAATCTCTCTGCTGTTTGGAGTCATGGTTAGATCACCCGTGCAGGAAATCACTTACAGATTCTGAGGACTCGGAGTGCTCTTTGTCTGGCCCAGAGTGCTGAGTGTGCCCGTTTCTGAGTCCTGTGGGAGGCCGTGGAGACAGGATAGGAACAATGTCTTCGTCATATCTCTTGGAGCGCTCCACCTGAAATGGAGAACGCCCTTAACTGCACTCTTCTTTCATTTATCCAAAATGAACCACAGAGCTCAACCATTTTTGTAAAATAAGGCCTAATTTCAGGACAGCCATAACAGCATGAAAACCGTTGCAAATGCGAGGAGGCCATATGGCTCAGCTAGCCTTTTTGGTAGTTGGGAGTCATTGATCTGAGGGTCTCACCCAACAGTTTCTTGAAAGGGTATTCGCTTCAACAACATGGCTGGGTAGCTTGTTCCAGACTCCCACAGCATTGAGGATGTCAAAACCTTCACTTTGATATGTTAATTTAGGAGTTACTGTAAAACAACTACCATGCTTTGGTTCTGTAATATTAAATAGAAAAAAGCAAATAAGTACCTACTCTTCCAAAAATTCCTGTCTGGCAGACATTTGCTTTTAGAAACATTATAGAAGTGCCAGGAAGAACAGCTTCAGTGGAGATGTTATTTTTCCAGCCAAAAAATTAATACCTCTGCCTCTAATTTTTCTTACACTTTTTTATTTATTTTTTTAGAATTTTTGGATTTATAAAATACGAAAGAAAACTGAAATACAAAAGAAATCTGAATTTTCTAAAAATAAAAATTACCTTAATTCTCTGTACACGTTCTTTCCGTGCAAAATCCTCCAGTTTCCTTTTGATGTCTATTTGATGGTGCCTCTGATTAACAGTAAAAATGGAATTTAATACACTCATAAACGGCAATGGAGATTACTGAACAGATCCGTATGGACAAATAACACAATTGACTTTCTAAACCTTGAGCTATAAAGTGCAGCCAAATGCCAAGATGCACCCAGCCTCTAACTCTTAGATGGGAACATTTTGATGCATTTGCTTTCTCAAATGAAAAATACATGTATTCAACACAATCTAAACAGAAAGAAAGCCAAAACTCAATTAAATAACCAAGAATGCTATGTGGTGCAGTATGTATTTTTAGGTTGAGTTATTTATTTAGAAACATCAACGCAATTTATAATGTGATTTGAAAGTAGATCCTAACATCTTTTCACTGTACCTCCATGTCCAGGACCTTGTGGAAGATGGCTTGGGCCAGGCATTCTCTCACAAATTTTTGGTGATCTTTCCGGATAAGGTTATGTCTGTACTCTTTGTCCGGCACAATTCTTCCATTTCGTGTGATCTAGTGCCATAAAGTTCAAAACATTTTATTTCATATAATAAACTACGTTCCTGGAGACCAATCTTGACTGAGACAGGAAAACGCACATCAGAGGATGTTTATCTATCATGCACACATACCAGCCCTGCTCTGTGAAGATGTCTTCTTATCCTGGTGTTGCTGAAGTAACCAGCGAGGTGTTTATCTGTGAGACTATTGTACGCAGCGATTGGTCTAGATATCAAATAACAAAAGACCAGAGATTAAGTCCTAGAAAGTTCTTACAGAAACACAAGACAAAGACACGGTTCTGAAAAGTACTTCATCTTCGTAAATATGTAAAAACATACAGTAGAAAAAATTGTATTGACATGAGTAAATCAATTAAGAACAGTAGACATTTTTTTACCTCACTCGTGATACCTTTGCCAAGTACTGATTATTTTTAAAACCACCTTTTCAATGGACAGGTGAGTTGGAGTTACAATCAAGTTATAACATACAACTGGAAGTTTCTGCCAATAAACTTTAATTAAGATGTCACATTTATACCCTTTTGAAACTACTAGGACTGTGTTTCTACCTGATATGAAGCAACCCATTACCATACAGTACCTTCCAAACAAAGGTAAAATATTTTACTAATCCGTTTCCATAATTGTGCATGTCAAAGATTAACCTGGTTCTGAAGCTTTTTCATGCTTACCAAATATAGGCCTCTTCCTTGCAAGGTTTGTCAGAAACAGTAAAAAACACCTGAGCATGTCTGTGCATGCTTATTGTAAGTATTCCAACCCCAAATCTAAGGGTAATTTTGACTCTAACCCTAAACCACAATCCTGGTTTCACACATTTACAATTAAATACATGAGAGCACAGATTCCTTTGCTTAAAAAACTGTCAATATTTATGATATTTCATCATCTTGCGTTTTGCAATGTTTAATGTGTGCTGAAAAGCAAACCACACAGACCAGCTCATTAGTCCCAAAAATTAATTTCTTCCTAATATGAAAAGTAATCTCTTACACATACAGTTTGTAAGTCTTAACAGATTACTTTCCCCAGCCACTGTTCAGTTCTGGCTGCCATTGAAACACTAACGTCCACAGCCTGGAAAGTGAGCTTGAATGGGCTGAAGAACATAATGCATCAGGGTAATCCACTCCATGTGAAAAAAGGCTCAATCTTAAACTGGCTTGTTCATCATTTTTTCCTTGGAATGCTTGTTGCAGCTACCTGTACACTGTCCTCCAAAAGTATTGGGGAAGCAAGATCTAAATAGCTTTTTTTTTGTATGTATGACCATTTACAACATGCGTTTCATTTCTGTATGTTTTCATGCATAATTTTGATCGTATTTGAACACAAACATACTTTCCAGGGACACATTAACTACTGTACATATCGCTTTGAGGTAATAACTGCAAGACATTTGTGACCCATGGCCCCCTGCTTTTTAAAGACCAAGTAATTTACAATAGATTTGCTGCAGCCAGTTTCAGTTCTTGCCTATACTTGGAGTGTTTTAACTTG